AGCGCGAGCGCGGAGGGAGAGCGCGTGCGTGGGGGCGCGTGCGTGGTGGAGCGCGCGCGCCCCCGCCCCCTGCCCCTCCACGGCCTGGGGGTGGGGAGCTGTTGGGAGGGCTTGTGGGGGTGAAACCCCGCGCCACACTGACAGAGGGGGCCCTGGCGCTGCAGGACGCGTAGGCATTTCTGGCTTCCTCAGGGGGCTTGGGCTGGTGGGGTCGAAGGCATTTGGTGAGGGAGACGGGAGGAAGCTCAATAACTGACAAGGCCCTACAGAGTTTGGCTCCGCCCCCGGGATGATGTCACTCTCGAGGTGGCTGCTGCTGTCACGTGCGCCCACTTCTGGGGGGCCTTTCCTCCTGCTTTGATGGCACGAGCGTTCCTCCAGTCTCTTCCCCCACCCCCACTTTGGACACCGCAGGCACACGTGTCACTCAAAGTCGTCGAAGCCAACAAGTGTCAGTTAATTCCTCTCCCGATTCTCGATCGCAGTAGGTAGACTGCTTTCAAGATGCCACCGTTGCCTATGATTAGAATAGGGATGGGAAGAAAAACAACACGGGGATAACACAAAGGAGAAAAGAAAGCTGACATCTAGAACAACTACTGACGATTCGCCAACCTTAGCTTGCTAGACTTAAGTAAAGTTGCGATGCTGCCTCTGCCATTGCCAACTTGAATAAGAATGAATGTGATTTTTAAGGCAGTCAGCAAAGCACGGAAAGTCATCAGCACGTAAGACCTCATTGAAGGAGATTAGGTCATATTTCCCCCAAAACTCACCACCTAGATTTTCTTTCCCATACTTCCTTGCCCTCAAACCACGAAACAGCCATTCAACTTTGCAAGATTCTTAAAGTAAATTTTTTTTCCCACGTGCTGCGAGATGTTACAAAGCAATCGTCGCTGCATATGTTGCTTGGGTGGACTTCCATTCCATTAGCTTAGATGACTTTTTAGTCTGCCTCCTAATGAAATGCCGTGACTGGAAATAGATGCACAAATTACATCAGTCAAAGGCGCTGTTTCTATGCTGTTCCGAGGGTAAAGAGGTTGGTTCATTTGATTGGCTGGTTATTCTGATACCACTCCATCTGAGTCTACCCCATCTCATAGGGCTTTGTTGTGTAATTTCTTTGACTTTTAAAAAAATTGTATTAATTTCAGCACAATACAAAAAAATGGATATGAAGTCATGTCCAAAAACTAGCTCTTACAGTGAACACTTGAGAATTCTGAGGTAGGACTGTAGCATTGACTGTGGTTAGCATGGCAAGGTGAAAGACTGACATTTGGACTGTTGGTTGTAATTCCAAAAGTTAGCTCAGTCTCATTAAAACTCATCTACCTATTGTGATAGAAGCAGGATACTGGTTACTTATACTGTAGGTGAATGAGGGGGCTCCAGAGGGGAATATTCTGGATTACTGGAAATGTTCAGCCACACTGGCACATGAACACTTAAAAAGCAACCTGTGCCTGTGTTTCAGTTTTAACACACAAAGAAGCATTACATTTCAACACAGGTTTTGTTATGTGTCCCCACCACCACCACCACCACTAGACAGGGTTTCTCTGTGTAACAGTCCTGACTGTCCTGGAACTCACTTTCTAGACCAGACTGGCTTCAAACTCACTGAGATCCACCTGCCTCTGCCTCCTGCATGCTGGGATTAAATGCATGTGTCACCGCCAGCGGCTTCAACAGTTTGGCTTCAATGTTACAATGAAACATTGTAATGTCATTATCTTTAGGATCAGAAAACAGGTTTGATCAATGTCACCCACCACCTACCCTGGTACATGATCTTAAGCATATCTTGAACTTTCCTTCATCTGTCTCGTGTGGGTCATGATACCTCACGGAATGGTTATAAAGATGAAATGAAACTTGAGAAATATTTAGCTCAGAACATAGCATACAGTAAAGTGCTCATGAAACACTAGTGACTATTACGTTGTGCTTACACTTGAATTTACCCTCCTTAATTCTCATTTAGTCTTTTTTATTTATTTTAAATACTATTTTGTATCTAAGCGTTTTCCCTGTGAGTTTTGCTGAAGCTAATAACATTCCTTCCCTTGAGAAATAACAAAAGGCAGTCAGGGGTATAATACATTGCTTTTAAAACTAGTTCAGGTGGAGGCACCTAGAAATTATGGTGTTCATTGTGGAACACCATGAAATATTGGTAGATTGAATTCTACCATATGGACTTGACACAATTTTACCAGCACTAAAGTTGGTTATATTATGCTTATGCAGATATTCACATATTAAAATAATAATGTTATTTTTAAAAAATATGTCTGTGATTTTCTTCTTAAATGTATTTCCAACGCTCTCACAGGGTTTAATAATAATTCACAAAATGAAAACCTTTAAACCCATTTTCCTGGAAATTGGAAAACCACTGTAATCATCCAGTTTTAGCAGCAGATGTCTTTATTGGAATTTTGCACAGTAAGTTTCGATTGCTGTAGCCCACGTGGTCTCTTGCACCAATAAAGCAACTCCAAACCACTGTCCTCATTTCTTCTGACTGATCTTTTCCATATATTCATATTGGGCAGTGTCCATGTCCATCGGGATGAGCTCAGTGCTCTGATTGTCCAATGCTTCTCTTCACCCAGTCCCCTCCCACACAATCCTACTATCAAGCCTTTCATTGCTATCATCGTCTGACTTTGTGAAGGAAACAATATGTGGTTGCTAAAGATGAGAATGTGGTCCGGCAGAGACAGAGAACAACACCGAAGTCATCTTTCTCCTCAACCCCTCTCCTAGATTTCCTTAGCTTCCCTATCATCAATGCCCAAAATTCTGAGAATCCTAATTGTCTTACTTATTTAAAAACCCTTTCTTGTTAAGATGGTATTTTAGTCTGTAATGTAATTAGGAAATACAATATATGCGTCCTAAGAAGAATTTGTAAGAAATCAACAAAGTGCCCTAACCTTGTCCTAGACCTTTCAGCTCTTCTAGTACCACCGACTATACCTGTCCACACAGCCGTTCTTGGTCTGCCTGTTGTGTGTGAGCACTCATCCCAGCATGCCCTCCTCTGACATCCTGAAGTCATAAATAAGCCACAAGGCCCACGTTTTCCTTTCAACTTTCCCTCTTGAATAAATAGTGACAGTTACTCTTGATTGATCACCTACTGCCTCAAGTACTTTACTGTCTTAAATGCGCCTCCCCACTTAATCCTCCTAATATCAGCTGAGGAGCCTCAGGTTTTAGATGGTGAGGCTCTGAGCTTAAATGACTAACTTTCCAGATCACACAAGGATGGCTACAGTCCACAATCTGTCCTACTGTGCTTCTCTGTGGGTTGTGATGGCACACTGACCAAAGCTACCTTGGGGAAGAAAGGATTTATTTTATCTTACGACTCCAAAGTCATGATCTACCACTGAGGGAAGTCAGGATGGAACATGAACTCGAAGCGGGGACCTGGAGGCTAGAACTGAAGCAAAGACCCATGGAGCAATGTTGTTTACTGACTTGCATTCTTTGGCTCGTTCAGCTTCCTTTCATATCTAACCCAGGAGCACCTGCCCAGGGGTGGTACCGCCCACAGTGGTACCCCTCCCCTACAGTCATTAATAAAATGCCCCTATAGCTAATGCCCACAGGCCACCACCACCACAGACATGCCCAAGGTCTGATGGAGACAATTCCTCAGTTGAAATCTCCACTTCCCAAGTGGCCCTACTTTGTGTCAAATTGACAAAAACTGACCAGTTTAGGACTGAAACATAAATGCCATTCTTTATCACTCACCCTCAGGGGAAAGTTGTATAAAATGTAAATAAGAAAACAGAACACACTGTTTTGGAAAACTCTGAGTCATCGCGTAATGAAAGTACTCTGATTCTCTTCCGGCACTGGAGATGGAGCCTAGGACCTTGAACACTGTAAGCAAGCACTCCTGGGTTACATCCCCTCCCCAAAGGATTCAGAAAAGCTGATATACAGTAACATTTTTCTCATGGACTGTCATAATCTCATTTCCTTTTGATCTCCAACCAGTGACTTCTAATGCGGAATCTTCAATGGTTTCCCCACCAACTCCCACCTCAGCCTTTTGATGAATACTTTATAATTTTTAGACTAACAGTTAAAAACATATCCACAAAGAGGAGCTACTAGTTAAAGGGTTTTAGTAAATCCTTTCTTTTTGAACTGAAAATTTCATGTAAAATGTTCACAAGCAAGCCATCACGCATTTCCCAATGCCATTTATAAATGTTTGGCAGGTCTTTGTGCTCCTGCATGTGTAGAGCTGTGATACATGCCATAAGGCATATATAATTGATGTGAGGGAAGTCTTGCATGCTGTCCTCTCACAATCTATTTGGGAAGCAAAATGCCTAAAACGTTTAAAAATTAATACAGTGTATGATAAAATTAAGTGTTACCGAAAGTAAAACAGTAGGTTCTGTAGTATTTCACAAGAAGGAGAGAGAGGAATTTGATGGCAGTGGTACAAGATTACATCTTGAAGAAAGTAAAATAAAAATAGGTAGGTGGGAAAGAGAGAAGGACAGCCCCTGGGACTCTAAGGGTTAAGAGGAGAGAACCGGA